GAGGAAATCTTTTAGTATGAATGGATTTACAGCTAAGCTTTAATTTTAAGGTTATATTTAAACAGATTATCTCATTTCAAAAGCTAAATTGCTTTCTTCCTTTAATTGTTTAAAAAAGCAAATAAAGCTGATCATCATTTTATAGTATTTATTTTGAGGCTGTTTGTTTAAAAAGGCCCTATTTTGCCTTTTCTACTCAAAATTGGCTCTTCGAAACATTTTTATATCCAATATAAGCTGAAAAAGAAGCTGCATGAAGAAGTGCTGCTAAGGTTTGATTGTTAATAACCACTTTTATCTGAATTCAATAATTTAATTTAAATGGCTTCACTATGAAGCCATCCAAACACAAACCTCAATCTCTTTGCTTAAAGTGAGCCCCAATCATCTCATTTTCTTCTCCCACTATTAAACTGAGTACCAACCTGGCTCACTGTTATATAGGATTTCTTTCACTTTTATACTTCAGCTATTTCAGAATAATGTTTCAGATCAATAATTTAAGCAGTGTAATGTTCTACGAAGGCGTCATGAAAAAAATAAAAATAAAAATCGGATGAATGTATCAAGCTTTACGAGAAAAACAAAGGCACAGGAAGGGACTACAGGTGATGCTTATTTATTAGCAATTTCCAGATTTATCCACTTTAAACAGGCAACTCTAACATTATTTAGGTAAAATGACACTATTATTAATTAAAACAATTTTATGCCATCATGGAATTCACCCAAATATTCAAAACTGTATATAACATGATCCAATTCCCTCAGTTAAAACAGAAATCTAAAAATGTACCTTCTGCAGGACATTTAACATTACACATTCTATAGTGGTTTTTAATTATGTTTGTTGCAGCATAACCTTCCCTCAGTCCTACTGATCATACATTAAACAGAGAAATGACTGAAAATATTTCCAAACAAATATGTTAAGCAAGAAAAATCTGAAACTGCTCTTCTTTATGCCATCGCAACAATAGGTTGGGGAGGGGGGGGTCCAGGATTTTCTCTTGCATCTCGTTAAATTTATTTAAACTGTAGAAACAGTACTTCAGCGTTTTTATTTTGTTTATTTTTAGCGTTTTTTCAGTTTGGCACACCCTGATGACAATGTTCCCTGACTGATATCTATTGCTGAGATATAAATGCATGTAGTGTATATCTCAGACACAAAGCTCTGGAGGGGCAGACCTCCAATTTGCAGTTGTTCATTAATAATTCTGGCACGTATGGAGCATTTAATATAAACTGAGAAACTTGAACACACTGAGAAAAAGGCAAGATAGAAATCCTCAGAAGCCATTTTCTGGGTTTATCAGGTAAGATTTATCAGCTTTGACATCTGTTTATTTTACAGAGACTTTACCAAATGTGTGTGTGTGTGTGTGTGGGGGGGGTGGGGGGGGGGGAATTTTATTAAACATTTGTTTACATGTTGAATAAAGTGAGAATTTTAGGGATGTTGTCAATGAGAAGGGGCTATACATCAGGGCAGAACAATGCAATTTATCTGAGAAGTGTGTTCATCTCGCAGACTAAAGAAGCAGGTTCTCATCATCTAAAGTGAAATCCACTAGTCCTACAGATAGATTTTGAACTTTGCCCATCACTGCTGACTTGCTTTTATTAAAAAACACCCTTCTCAGGCACACTGAAAGCAACATAAGACCAAAACCAGTGGCTATGGATGAACATGCTGCAAACTGTCCAAGCACATGCACAAAAAAATAGGCCATGGCTTTTTCCATAATGCAATCAGGACCTTATGTTGTTTTTGCTTATTTATCATAAAGGCTACATAGATTGGTGCACTAAAGGTAGAGAATTCCCTTCAGAGACCAGATTTACACAAGGTAATCTGATTTTCATTGCACATTTGTTCACAGCTGATGTATGCATGTCTGGGATTCCGTTTGCAGCTTCTCTCCTCATGAAGAAATCAAAAAGCCATGGAATAAATGGGTGAAATATTAAAGAATACCTATATAGCTGCAGGAGTTTGTTTTCCAGGTTTTATTTACAAATATATTAAATGGTAAATTTATGATTTTAATAGAGCAACTATTTGACAATAGTAAAATATACCACTACAATCAAACACACCGATCTCAGATTTTAAGATGGAATAATGCCAACATTCTCCATTGAAGGGGATCTAATTTAACCTTGTTTCAGCTCCATACCTGCATGGTTTATATAAAACTCAGTTTGATGGAAAAAAGAAAAACAATAAAAACAACAGAAAAAAATAGAAAAAAGACGCATCGACTCTCAAACTGTTTAGATTTGTTATTGAAAGTTGAAATTTATTTTTTATATTCAACTTTACATTTTGATAAGTTAATGAGTGACATTTTCACACACACACACACACACATAATAAACTAACAAACTTTAGAATAAAAATTAAGGTAAACAGATTATGTTTTCAAAACGTTGAACTCATTTCATAAACAATGGATTTATTGGTTTGTCCTAGCAGATATGAGGGCATTACTGGAAACATGACCATGGTATGAAATCTGCTTTATTCACTTTTAAATTTGAATGCAAGCCAGCCTGCCAACTACAGATCTATTCAAAATTAGGCTGATCAAACCAATCGGACTGATTTATATTTCCACATTCAACATTTAGAGTTTATAAGGGGTCCCAATAATTTTAAACGACAGTATAAACTTCAAACTTAAAGATGCTGGTCTTTTACTGACACTTGAACAGAGGCCAGCTCTTTTTCGTACTATTAGACAGTAGTATTGGTAATAATGGTGCACAATGAGAAATGACCTATGGTGACTTCTGTTTGGAGGAGGAGTCTCACCATTTGCCCAAAAAGGAGTGATGGGACTGTGTGGGCATGCATCTGTGGTCAGGCTGTTAAAGCACAGCCATACTCATCTTAATATATATATATATATATATATATATATATATATATATATATATATATATATATATATATATATATAGCCTCACCAACAAACACACACTTATAAAAACCAAAGGGTTATAAACAGGCAATTTAAATTCATTGATTTTTCGCCGTTGTTTTTGCATGCCAACTATTTACCGGAGCCTTCTCCAGGCAGGAAGTGCGTTTAGGTGGGATTTATTCTCACTGCAAAGCATTCTGTGATTTGTTTTTGTTTTTTTTCCCCAATCACTGTAAAGTGCAGAAATTATTGCCAAAATGACACCACAGACATTTCCTCATATTATAATGTGAAGAAAATGTTCAACTAAGGAAAAACCAACCTGGTGGAGCTTAAAAAAAAAAAAAAAAAAAAAATTCACTTATTTTGCTTTTACCACTCAGGGACTCAACTGAAGAAGCTTTATTGAGGATTGGTCAATATTTATTTCAAAAACATTGTATGCAATTAAAGGGAACAGAACAATTTTAAAAAGCTGGCACAGGTCAAATGATACACCATGATGTTTGGCTGAAACGAGATATGTACATAAGGTGCATAAAAAGACATGACATCGTTGATAAGATGTAGAATTTAAACATTTTGAGAAAAGCCAATTACTCACATGTGAGCTTCTAATAGCTAAATGTATCTCATTAGAGTTAAATGGAGGCACCTGTCAAGCTAATTTAAAGACTCTTCAATCTACTTCCTTCTGGAAAAAAAAAAAATAAAAAATATTTAAATCTGAAATCAAAGAGAGAATTGCAGAACTCCACAGGTCAGGTTTATCCTTTCGAACAATTGTGCAAATATTTCCTAAAATAATCTATTCTAACCACTGCACGCCCTCACACCTTTCAGGGAGGAAATGGGTTCTGTGTCCCATAGATACGAAAGTATCCCCAAAACAAAAGCTAAAAACCATGTGAAGAAGCTGCAGATGGTAAACCAGTTCAAACCAATGTTCCAATACTGGATTAAATGCTGTTCATAGAGGAAGGAAGCCATTCTGCAAAGAGCAATGAAAATAAACTTTAATTAATTATCTTAAATTTTGGAATCATTCCTTTGACCTTAAAACCAAGATTTAAGCATTTGGCCATAAAAAATTAAGATATTTGAAAGAAGAAAGTTAAGCCTGAGAACATGGTCCCACTCTAAAGTGAGGCAGCAGCAATAGCCTCATTAAGAAAATGGAAACACTAAAGAAAAACCTATAATGGAACCCAGGAAGTCATAGTTTGGGGATGAATAGGTCCTCCAAAAGGAAAATTAACCCGAATAATACAGCCGCAGACACCAAAGGCAAAGTTCTTGACTGTCCATCACAAAACCAAGAACTCAGCCTTATTGAAAATGCGTGACAGTGCTGAAATAGTGTGTTTGGGCAACAAGACCTACAACTAGAGTAACAACAATTCCTCCTGTCAGGACTAATGGCTCAAAACACCAGCAAACTCTAGCAGGTGTTTGTGGAAAAACAGCCACAATGTTTGGCCCAAGTCATACAGTTTTAAAGGGAAATTTACCAAAAACTGAGGAAATGTAGACAACCTTCTGAATTTAAGCAAAGAAAGATAAGCTTAACCTCCAAATTTACTCTGCAAGAAACAGAAATGTTGTAGTCTTATCTCACCTAAAAAAGGAATTAGTCTGATTTAATGTTTACAGAAAACAAAGTGTCATGTGTCTTTTTATAGAGCTCATGTAAACGGAACGAGGAACTGCATATCGTCGTGTATCATTTAAAATGGAACCGTTAGATGCTGTGATCTTGAATAAGTTTACAATGTTTAATAAGACGAGAACTATGGCCGTGATTTAACTAAGTTAACTGTCATAAACTAGTATTAGAACTAGGTGTTTTTAAGGGTGAAGTTGAAATATAGTTCATATAACCAAATATAGCTGATTGGAAAAACTTTAATCATTAGAGATGCAGGGAAAATATTCAATTAGAAATCCTGAGGCAACAGAAACATCAAAAGATTAATGAATTCAAAATTAAATCACACTGGAACGTAAAAATGATATTTAACCAGTCTGTTGACGACATCTATACATCGAATCAAGTCAAACATCTGATGCTTTTTAACATTTTATTATTCAAACACAGTCTTAGGATCACTTTACGTACTTTTCCAGTCATGTTCATCATTCCACCTCGCATAAGATGGAAATTTTGGTAACAAAGAAGCACACCTGTCATTTAACGGTTGATATCTCCGCATTAGGTGGTGGGAGAGAATTGGAAAAAGTTAAACACTTTGTTACAGATTTGAGCTCATTATACAGAATAAGTTACTGTGAGCTGGCTCACTGCGACACACAGACGCAGTGGTTTTGAACAAGCACCCATGCTGAGCAGACTGAATAAATAAAAACACAAAAAGACTCTCCCCCATTGCACTAATTCAAGCTGCAGTGAAAGAATCTGGTTTTTGCATAAGATTAAAAAATAGACGTTCTGTTCCAGTGCAAATGACACCATCTTCCAAGGAGTTCATTCTTGCCTCTCCAGAGACAGAAATATCGCCCCCATCTGGGAGGAGAGGTTAGTGCAATCTGAACCACCAGGCTGGACGGATAAAAGGATCACACCTCGGACTTTAAAAAGGAACCGAGAAGAAGGTGGGAATCCCACCTTCTTCGAGGCTTGTGCATGGATGTGACCTATGAAGTATCCAGGGCAGAAAAGTCACAGAAAAAAACATTTTAAGGGGAAGGAAAAAATTAAAACAAAAAAAACAGAAGCTCATCTTCAAAAGTCGACACAATCCACAACAAAAAACTGGTCATCTTCAAACGGCGAACAGGAGAGCTATGGGTGGCAATCATCTAGCAGGCCAAGCAGCGATGGGGTCCAGACTCCTGAGGTGCACTTAAATCTTCGCTGGAGTGTGTGTGTGCTACCTGCGGAAAGGTTGCGCTTGCTTGCTGGCATCCTTATGTGTGGATGAGCTACAGGTTGAATCTTTGCAGGTTGGAGCTGTGTTCAGAAGAGTATTACTTGCAGATCGCTTCTAGGGCATCCAGGGTGCGTTTGATGTCACGGATCTGAGCCGCCAGTGTGTGTATGGGCTGCATGGAGCGATCCAGCTCCTCACAACGGGCCATCAGTGTGTACATACCCTGTATAAACACACATATCAATAAAAAACACTACTCCTAAAATGACAGATTCTGGTTCTTTTATCAACCGATTTATTATCATAAATCAAAAGAAGCATATCTCCTCTTCATTAATAAAGGAGAATGAAAATGATCCTTGATGTTTTTTAATAAAATTGCCAAATTTAAACACAGCCATAGCTCTGTTGAACCCTCCATTCCCCCTGCTTCTTTATAAATAAGTTTGAATCTAAATATGATTGGTTCTACAGAAGGTGAGGAAGCATCTAAGGTAACTTTGGAACCTGAACAGCAAAATTATCTTCATCTCAGCTTTTCCCAGATCCAATCAAGCTACTTCAGGAAGTATTCCTTCTGATTTCCTCGTCCATTTCCGATGTTATTAATCTATCCCTGTTACAGGGATATGTACCTCAGGCTTCTAAGGTAGCTGCAGTTTTATACAGGCAAGTTGGCGTTTCTTGTTAATACATTGACATTAATGTTTGCCATCAAAATATCCATATAAAAAGCGTGCCCTAAAAAGGGATAAGACATCTATACAGTTGAGTAACACATTAAACCTCACCTTTATGCTCATGTCTACCGATTCTCCCAGGCTGTCAACAGAGTCTCTGTAGGTCTGGATGTAGCCGACGCTCAGAGCCGTCATCTAAAGAAACAGAAAGTCAGAGACAGACACGTCGGTTTTGTGGACGAGCAAAAGTGAGAAACAAACAAGAGAAAATAATAAGGCACTAGGAGATTTTATGTAGGACTAGAGGCCAGCTGAGAAGAAATGAGCAATGTGTGGTGATCCAGCGAGATTCACTGCGATACACCAACTAAAACAGCAACAAGGACTCAAAATAACCCCGGCCGTTCAAGCATGAAACCAACTCACATTCTGAATGGTTCCATTGAGGCTCTTCATCATCATCTCTACACTGTGCGCCACCTCCTGGGTGTGCCTCTGCAGGTCCACCAGGACTGTAGGATCAATAGGGGGGATGTCTGCTGGTCTCCGTGTCAACCCTCTGCTTCGGTAGATCGGACCTGAACAGTCAGCTGCAGGAATAACATAAAAAGATGAAACATGCATATCCAAAATCACTAAAATAAAATCCATTAAGGAAGCCCTGCCGCATAAGATTAATGTAAGAATCTTATTTTTAAACAGACTTTTTCTTCCCATCAAAACATGTCAAAATACAGAAGCTATCAGCAGTCAGCAGACGTTTAAAAAAAAAATAAAAAGAGACAGCTTTTTTTTCATCCTGGCAACAGCAGGACCTTAATAGTAAATCCTCCTAGTCTAAACAAAGTGAGTCATCCATCTTAATTGAATCAGCAGGTAGAGGGAATGAGCTGCCACACGAGGCATATTGACTGTGTCGCTGTGCCTAAATTAAATGGCTGGTTTAGCCGTCACTCTCATCCAGACGAGTTTGTGAGGGAAGGGCAGCGTTTCAGCGCGTTTCTCCGTGAAATCTAAACATGACAGATTGCTGCTAATAGACCGTCTGCATTAGGTCGCGCTGCAAGACTACAAGGGATTGATTTATATCTGAGCTAGATTTAACCATATCACCTAAATAATTGCTATGTTCAACAGCAGGCCAAAGGGAAGAAAAAGATCCAAACCAAGAACTCAGACAATCGTCTGAGGGTTTAATCTTAAAGGTTTTTGCCTCTCTGGTATTGACTGACACAATTCTATGCAAAACTATTAACATTCCTTGATGTTTGAAAGAAACCATAATTTTAGATGTGTTATATTTGGGTTTGAAGTTACAGTCAGAGCTGGATAGTAGAAGATAGATATTTTACATACTTATCGTATCTGTTCTTGAACTAAAAACAAACAAAAAAAGTAATCCCCACAGCATGATGCTGCCACCACCATGTCTCATTATTTCGATGGAGTATTCAGGCTTAATGAGTAGAATTGATTTACTACCTCACAGAGTGTTGCATAAAATTTGCTTTAGGTCCCTTTTCTTGAAACTACTTTGCTCATCTTTTCCGAGGCCTCTGGATGATTCTGCTTTTCTCTAGATACACCTTCATAAAGAGCGATCACCTAATTGTTCTCCTATCAGCACAAAATTTAAAAAAGCAATAAGAAGCAACTTATTAATTTAGATAAAAAGAACTAGAAAACAGTGAAGTAAAAAAGTAAAGGAATTTTTTTAGATGGAATATGGTATGACTTCACACACCATCTCTCTGCATCCTCCATTGTTTAGTTTACTATCCAACCAGCTGGGGTGCATATAACACCAAGTGATAACCGCTAATCAGGCTTTAGCCCCTCCCTGCCCAAAGGATGCCTTCGCCAGCGTAGCATAACAAAGGAGCTACTAACTTAGTTCACCTTACCAGGAGAGTGTATCATACCGCCGTTGTAATGTAATTACATTACTAACAACACAGTCTGCACCATAAAACACTATAAGCTGCAAACACACACAATTTAAAACTACTGCTGAGACACTTTGTTAGTGTCATAATTACTTAGTTATTGACAAACAGTATGGGCACTTTACAAAAATGAAGTTCTCTTGCTAAGAGCATTATGAAATTATGAGAATGGTTTGGAATCTAGAGTGGATCAGACCCAGTTTAAATTTTTCAGTTCTATCGGAATCGTTCAAATTTTTCATTTTGGTTTCCTGGTTTTGATGCCCTGTGTGCCGACATGAAATGGAATGGAGAATGAGAATAAAAAAACTGGAATCGAAACTAGGAATCGTTCAAATTAAAACAATGTCCAACTGTAATTATGAGTTAGTTACTGCTTTACTAAACCTGTGAAAGGCAATGCTGGTTTGCTGTATGTTCATGCTTTTTAAATATACATGTGAGGTATATTAGTCTTAAAAAGAACTGGTGTTCTTATAATAAATTAGGGCAATTATTTGCATTTGCAATATAATCAGTTTTACAAAATGCAATTTTTAAATTGCAGAAGCACTCATTTTATTACCAGTAACACAAGTTAGACACTGACATTCTGGCTCCAGCACTTCGGGTGGAATACAGATCCACACCTATATTTAGAGGTAAATACTCTTCAAAGTCCTGCTAAAATGGACGCAGAAGAAGCTTTCAAGCTCATGAAAACAATGAAACCCTGGATTGAAACGTCTGTATGCTTGTTGTTAATGCAAAGGGAAAATCAATGTAAAACTGAAATTGTAATTTCAGCTAAAAGAAAAAAAAAATCCTTTAGACCTATAATAGATATAGTTTCTTACAAATGTATTTATAGAGACTGGGATTTAAAGCAAAACAAAATGGTTATGAGGGAAAGTTTGACTCGGATTCCCTTTACATGCACTGTGGCCAGCTGTACTGTAATGAACAGAGGGCGTCTGTGTGACAATGAATCCCAGGATACGTGAGGCCGTTTGTGAGGCCCCAGATGTTTGTTAGAATGCCAACATCACATAAAGTTTGAAGATGTACACGACAAAAATGTGGGATGTTACCTTCTCTTTTTTTTTACCTTTCTTTTTAGTGAAAGTCTATCACTTTCCACCTTACAAATGACAGCAGTGAAACAGGTCAGAAGTTTTCTTTAGGATCTAACTCACAATCACTGCAGTCCAGGCTGGGTTTGGAGCTCATTTTGATCTTCTGCTCGAGGTTCTTTGTGATGAAGTTGGTGAGGTCTCCTTCATGGCTGACCGTCCCCTCCAGTTCCAGGGCTGAAGAGATTGTGGCCCTTCGGCCCTCGGACTGCCCACTTCTGCCTCCACCTCTGGCACCTTGACTACCTGGGAATAAAAAATAAGTAAAAATAAATAAACAGATTGCTGGAAAGGTGTGATCCAAACTGCGACAGAAACATACCTCCACAGGCTTGGCTGATTTCATCCAGGCTCTTGCTGTCTTGCATCCCACGGTTGTTGCGAACCCAGACTTGAGCCATGACGTGAGGAGGGCATGGGGTGTCGTCTGAGGTGAGATGAGTAGGTTGGGGGGAAGAGGAGGAGGTACTAGGAGTGGGGGCTGAAGAAGAATAGTGTTGCGAGAGCTGAAAATACAGATAAGAAGGGGAAGTTTGAGGAAAAAAGAAAGAGATTTTAATAGGTGGTCTCCTAATGGCTGAAAAACATTGATTTTGTAATTTTTCCTATATTATCCACTTACCTCCTCTGTTCTCCCTCCTGTGTTCCTCCATCTGCTCTCATTCTTCTCATCAGTTTCCATATCCTGTTTCTCTTTCTCTCCATCCTCCTCCTCCCCTCTAATGCCAAGGCTTCGCTCTACTATCTCTTCCTCAACCTGGTGTCTTTCAGCAATGTCAGACCCTCCCTGCTGACAGTGGTCTTTGAGCTCTGCTTGCTGCGCTGAACCCCACATGAGAACCACATCTTCAGTCTCAGAGGCCTTAGAAATGTCTTTGGATTCAGAGTTTCCTCTGTCTGCCCCATCATGGGTAGAGGGGTCTACCGCCTGAGAACAATGTAATGATAAACTAGATGTTCTCTGATTAATATCTGTCTCTTTGTCAGAGTTACTTTCCTCAGTGGGCAGTCTGTTTGCTGTATCAACATGGTTCTCTGTGTGTCCAGAGGACCCGCCCATCGACTCTCCTCCATTAGCAGGTAACCTGCTCCCACCATATTTTACCGAGACCGGCACATGAGAGTCGTTCTCCAGAGAACCAGTTGTTGCCACTCCATTAGCTGCTTCTGGCACTTCTGTGCCAATAACAGGGGAGAGACTCATCCCTCCCCCTGCTGGTGAAATAAAAAAGGTCAAAGGTGTTAGAGGAATCCTTCTCAGCAAGAAACGTTGTTGTTGCTGTTTTTTTTATGAAATCATGAAGATTGAAATATGTTCAAAAATGTGTATAAAGCAATTATAAAAATCTCCAGTTGCTTTGGATGAAAATGTATTCCGATTTTCTTTCCTTCAGCATCATTTCCAAAACTAAGCAATCGGCTGATAGAAGTGTAGTCTGATACTGTATTGGACACTAGACTAGGCAGCAACTTAACCTCTGATGAAGTTTCATCATTGGGACAGGTTGCCTCAGTTTAAAGTTTAAAAGGCAGTAATTCATATCTAACATCAAAGTATAAAAAAGATATTTATATTTGTTTGAAAATATTCAGCGTATCTGATAAAGTCCAATGTCTGTTTTGCCTAAAACTATAGACAAAACATGTATTGAAATTACATTCTTAGAATTGACTAAAATAAAATAAGATAAAATTAAATGTGATGGTTCTAGGGCTGCAACTAATGATTATTTTGCTTATTGATTAATCTGTTGATTATATTTTTAATTAATCAATTAATAATCGGAGAGCAAAAGGTTCATTAAAGAAGATTTTAAATAGATTTAAACCAGGCGATGGATAGAGCATATTGACAGATGAAAAACTTTTTTTTTTTAAACGCAAAATATGAATATATTTCTTACAATTTTCATATAATTGCTGATGTGAGTGGGTCACTGTCAGCTAAAGGCATGTTTTAAGGTCTCTATGCTCTAGTTAATGATAAATCAATTATTAAATTAGTTGATGATTATTTAAATAATCAATTAATCACAATTATTCCACTCAATTGTTTCAGCCCTAGATGGCTCCACCTAGGTTTCCAGGGCTAAAGTAAGCTAAAACACAACCACCACAAAATGAAAAACAAACATGTTTCAACAAAAACAAAGAGGTCTGGTAGGACTTTTTGTTAATAAAAAAACATTCATCAATCTGCTGGATTTCTTCAGACAGAAAGCCCCTCAAAAATTTTTCAGAAAGATTTGAGTGACTATTTAGAGTACTTTATGATGAGCTCTATTTTTAATTAGTGCAATGTAAATATAATTGGTTAAAACAGGAAATAATTATAATTTCTTTTACTATCTGCTGTGCCTGCTTTGGCTTTTGGAAGAAGATACTGCAACTTAAAGTACTTTACCCTATTCTAGCCTGTGTAAACCACCTACAGTAAGTATTGGTTACAGAAGTTTCACATTCTGGAAAATTTAGAACAGCCTGCAGGTCTTATTAAGTAATGCTAAAATGTTTTTATATATTTTATCTATTATATAAAGTACCAGAACCTGCAACCACCACTGTGTCTCCTATGTTTTGTCTGATGAGAAAAACATTTTTGGATTTGGATTATTTATAATGAAAATAGATGCTGTGTATCGATTTATTCCAACCTTGGAAAAAAAAAAAAAAGGTGCTTATTTTGCAGTGGTGTAACAACCATGTGATCACATCCAATAAAAGGAAGTAAACAAGCAAAGGCAGTGAGACATGAAGCCGTCAGGATTATGACAGAATAAGCTATAGAAATGCATATGAATGCCTCACTTTAACATCAGATGACCCACTCTTTTATCCAAACTCCCTAAACATGACTCCAATCTTCCCGTTTTAAAACCAGTCGTTTCTTTTATCTAAGGCTGAAGCATTTACATTGACAGCCACTCAGAATACTGGCATGCATACGCTGAAATAACTAGTGCACATTTAAACCATCTGATTTGATCAATGTTTTCGTTTTACCAAGCTACGACAAATAAAACACATAAAGAAGAAGAAGAAATAAAGGGAACTAGTTTTCGGTGGGGAAGTGGCTGCTGTTTTGACGCGGCTAATGTTAGCTACTGAGGCCTCTGACTCACAAATGTAACCAAACATTCTTTCATATAACTGTCACGACTGTAAATTAGTGTTTATTTAAAGCTACAATCTAGATATACACCGTAAAGACTCCAGATAACGATGTCACATACCTCAAATGATCGAAAAAAGAACTCACCAGGGCAGTTTCTATCCTGTAAAATATAAGCAACAATCGAGTCCGACCAATATATTGTTCCCCACAAGTTCCCAATGGATGGTTCCGCATGACGAAACCTTTCTTGAATTTTCACCACGTAAACATAGACTTTTTAAGAGTTAGTTAACATAAAAATCACTAGTATACGTATATATAATAACTGAAAATTATATACATTAGTTTGTATGACCTAAAGTCATACTTTTATGTGTGTGTTTAGAAAAAACAGATAGATTAAATTTATGTATCATACATATGATGTATGTTTAATATTAATTTAGTGAACATCCACCTTTTGTTATTTTCTTATTGGTTAAAAAAATGCTTTATGCTTTACGCATGTGCTTTATATCAGTGTTGTATTTACCATAGCTTTCCCAACAGATGGAGACAAACACCAGGGGGGCCCCCAGGCTGCCTTGCTGGTTATTTTGCTGTTCTTAGGGGTTAGAAGCAGTGTAGATGTCTAAAGTGTTTTGCTGCTTTTCTGGCTCAGCTATTATTATGTTTAGAAATGTTAAGCTTTCAAAATATGCCCAGATCATGGAGATTAAAATCGAATAGTTATATGAATATAAACAAAATTCTGCTTTGGCTGAGATGCATTTGGTATTAAGGGTTTGAAGCATAAACAATAATACTATTTTGACAAGATACTTGAAATGTTATTTTCTCCCACTGGAAAAAAACTCATTTTCTGTGATAAACGTTAGATAACTAAAAATCACCTCCACTTTATGAATGCTTTGTCCCTGTTTGATCTCTGGTTCCTTAGACTGTCTCTTTAATGAGGATGCAAGGGTTTGTTTTTGAAAACTCCTTTAAATTGGAAAATAAATTTAAAGCTGTGTAAAACAAAAATCAGGTTTTAATCAGTTAAGAAACGTAAGTTAAGCTCTAACCTTTTTATAAAGACCAAAATGAAAGTTATTGTATCTTTCATAATGTCTTGTCTAGACATCTCTAAATTTCTATAAGAATCAAGCCTATCTGGTTTGTAAGGACTTTGTTCTGAATGCTGCTCTTCATGCATTAACTGGCACCAAGAGGCATCTTTTGTTTCTTGTAACCGTTTCTTTTAGTCTTTGCACTGGATTCATAATCAGTTAATCTTTTTTTTATGTTATAACTGTTTAGCCATTTAACCATTTCTTTTAAAGTCCTCTCTTCATGTACACATTATACAGCACAACTTGTACGTACATTCCAAATGTTGCAATCTGTTAATTTCTTTATCTTGGGAAAAAGACGTTAATAAAAATTTGAGTTCAAAAAATACATTAAGGAGAAAGCTAGATGGGACGAACCCACCCTAGTCTTACCCGTTTTTGTTAAAATAACTTTAATGATGCTTCTTGTTTTTAAGGTGGATTGGGGCCTTTGTTCTTTAATATACAGACTGCTTCAGGTAAACCTACAACATCTCCAGAGATCAAGATCTTGGCTTTTGCTCAGCCAAAGATTTAACATTACTTAGTAACGCTTTAGTCATGTTCCAGGGTTCAGTTCTTTTTAACTTAGCTCTATATTTCATGGTGGATTCTTTAAGATCATGTTACACCAAAGCATTCCCAAACCATAACCCATCCAGCTCAATGCTTCATAGCTGAAATGAGGTTATTTTCCAGAAATGCAGTACCGGTATTTGGATTTTGGTGTTAGATAATTTAGTTTTAGACGTATATGTTGAAGGAACATTTTTTTTCAGAAGTCCTGGTCTTCGTCTATGTTCTCTGGCAAACTTTATTCTGGCTTTTTGGTTGAAGAGAAAGTTATTCTTATGCAGTTTCTGAAAGGACAGGCACACAATTTCACATAAAATGCAGCAAAATCCAATGAGGGTCCCATGATGAGATTAGGTGGTCTGTTTTTAGGTAGAAATAGTTTTGAGTGCCAGACCGATGCATGTTAGTATTTGTTTTCAATGTCCACTACTTGTTTACAGTAGAAAAACTGATTAGAAAAACTTTTTATAGGCTTTTTAAATCCCTTACATGAGCCTTATTCCACTCAAAGCAGGTAAAATAAGCATTGAAAATGCCACAATTTTTCTCAGTAATATTTCTAGAGGTGCTACTGACGTTACATTTTCACCAGATTGGTTGGTAAGAATCCATGCAATCCACACATACAAAGAAATCAAACCATAGATGTCGAGAAATTAAGTTATGTGTAATAATGTGGAATGGCACAGGGAAAAAGTGTTGAACACACTTACTGAAATTTAATACTTTGTACAAAAGCCTTTGTTAGCAAGGACAGCTTCAAGACGCCTACTTTATGGAGAAATTATCCAACCCATTGTCAATACAAATATCAGCTGGTCCAGTCCCAAATGATGGCCTATAAAAAGGAGTATCTGGTATCACATAAGAAGCATGTCATGTTAGGTAAATGTAAAGAGCATTCTCAAGGCCTTTGCAACCTTATTGTTGCAAATCATAATAATGGCATTGTTACAGAAGGATTCCTAAACTTCTGTCTGTTCCAGTGTGTACTGTTCTGACAGAGGAGTGAAAATAATTATCAGAAGAGTTGTCCAAGAGCCAAAGACCTCTTAGGGAGAGCTTCAGAAAGACCTGTTATTAGCAGGTACAATTGTTTCAAAGAAAGACATCCACCGAACCAGTCAAAGCTCAGAAAATAGGACCTAGAATTCAGGAAGACAGAAGAGGTTTGTTCAAAAGTAAAATGGTTTATTGACTGCTCTGGATTGTGCAACTTTACATCTGGGACATACTTGCTGGATTCTCTGTAGAGATAGATAGATAGATCAGGTTAGTGACCACTAGACTCAGATGGGTTACAATAACAAGCATGTGAGTCGCTAACCTGGTTCTTAAGTTCTGTCTGTGTCCAGATGAAGGGGTGGGAACCAGGTGGATGACTTCTCCACTGCTTACGACAGGAGCCAGCCAGAGAGTTTCAGGAGTGAGGTAGAGCAGACTGACGAGCGGAAGCTTGCAGACATAGAAGAGCAGAAGAGTCCAGAGGCAGGATCCAGAGGCAGGATCCAGAGCAGGTGACGAACCAGATGTCCAGACCAGAAGATCAGAGAGACGCAGTGGTACCAAAGGGAAAATCAAGCCGGGATCAAGGGACAGATCCAAGGTGGTTAACAGGCAGAGTCCAAACAGCAGTCCAAACACAGGGACGGGCAGAAACAGACTGGAACAGGGGCAATCCAAAACACATAAATCCATAGGCAGAAACAGGTCAGGATCAGGCAGTCAAAACACAACAGAATACACTAGATAACTCTCAAACTCGGCTCAAATAAACTGACACTGATGGCTGGAAACAGGCAGCATAAATAGGAGCTGTAACAGGTGGATCACATGAGGGCATATGAAAGCTGGCCGTTGCTAAACAGGCGGAAGGAATTAAGTAATAATCCAGTCATGAGTGTCAAGATCATGACAAAACTGTCATTGTCTGTATGCACACTCACAGAGCAAGACTCCATTGCTGAGGAAAAAGCATGTTGAAGTTTAGAGTTTGTTGCACAACATTTAGACAAGCCTGGGACAATATAGTTTGAACAGATGAGACCAAAATTTAACTCTTTGGATGCCATAATACACATCATGTTTGGAGGTCAAATGGCGCTGCACCTCACCCCAAACACTATATTTACAGTGAAGTTTAGAGGTGAAAACATCGTGGCTTGGGGCTGTTTTTCAGCATATGGTGCTGGCAAACTGCAAACAATTGATGGAAAGGTAAATGGAAAAATATAGAGAGACATTCTTGATGAAAATCTGCTGCCATCTACCAGGATGATAAAGATCAAACATGGGTGGACACTTCAGCAAGACAATGACCCCAAACACACAGCCAAAGAAATTCTCAATTGGTTTAAGAGAAAGAAAATAAAGCTTCTAGAATAGCCATGGTAATCACCAGATCTGAATTCAATAGAAAAATCTATGGAAAGAAGTAAAGATAAGAGTTCGAGAAGAAGCCCAACAAAACCTTTAAGATTTGAGGACTTTTTGTGTGGAAGAATGGGCCAAAATCACACCTGAGCAACGCATGCAACTAATTTCTCTATACAGGAGGCATCTTGAAGCTGTCATTTTTAGTCAGAATTATTGTAAGAGGAGTAGTTCCCAATTCATTTCTCACTGGAAGTAGATTTTTTTTTTAAATTACATTTCACGGAGAGAAAAAAAAGGAATAATTCCTTTATGTTTGTTAATTTTTGTATTTCTTAATCTTTTATTGTGTTTATAATGATAATAAATACATCAATAGGTTCAAATATGTCTGATTCACACACAGACTGTCATAGGATGCTCTAAATTTGATAGGTAGCAATTCATCAAAAAGACTATCCAGATGTATTGTGTACATTTGAGTCTTTTTGAAACGCTAAGTACTTTATTTTAGGCCCATCATCAAATCCAAACGGGTAATTGCTCTATAAATTACTGTAAATGGCAACTAAATAACCTTCCAGGGGGCTGAAAATAAAGAAAAGATCTTGGTTTCGGCAGTTTGTCTCCACAGTAGAAATGAAGTCAACATCTTGTGGCTTCTCAAAACCATTGAATGACAAACCAGGCAGAAGCGGAGAGAGTAGAGAAAAACCCACACTGAAGCCACATCTAAAGATCTCGTAAAATATCTAATCCACCTCATCTCTTCAGGCCAGCTGCACCCTCTGCAGGGATTCAGCAGCTTTATCCTATTTGCTCCATTTCCAACTGCAGCACACATCAAAGCTTCAGAAATCTACCTAAAGACCTTCAAGGTTCAGAAGTAAGAGTTTGACTCAGAGCTCTCCCATAGATTGCTCTGTTACTTAATTCCTTTTCCTTTTTAGGGATTTTACATAAAAAAGGAGGCTATTTAACAGATAATTCCTTCCCACATGTGAAGCAGCAGTATAGATGAGGAAGTATATGAATTAAATTGAAAGCATGTGGCTTCATGCATATGTGGTTGTTTTTATTACAGAAGTTGGAGACTGCAGGTTTTACATCAGTGGCTAAAATGACATTAAAGGCCTATAAATCAGCAAGCCACTAATTCCTCTGTTA